ACCAATACCTGCACAGGATGTAGATGTGGATGCGCAACCCGAAGAAGAACAAGGTGCAGAAGGCCCTGATCCCAGGCAGACGATTCGTGAAGGATTTGTCGCGCAGCTTCAGGACTATGTGGGAGTACTCGCTCAGGGCGAAATGTCGGTCGGAAGCGACCGCCTCACGTTCTGTATCGCTTGCGGCAGTGATCTACACAATCTGTCCAATTGCACGGAAAATGCTGCGACCCGGGATCTGGTACTTCGAGGCATCCAGATCATCAAGGAAAGCCTTCTTCGATATCCACGTCGAGTACCTCCACAAGAGGCTGAGCCAATGGACGTTGACACCACAGACCATGTGAGTGTTGCATCCTCGGACCGACGACCCAAGGCCAAAGCCCGACCGCGACGCGGAGGCGAAGCCGTACGGGGTGATGTGGTCTTGATCCGTTATGAGAACAAACACAATCTCTGCACGGATGTGGAGAACCGTCGGGGCCTACATGATGCTTGTGGCGTACCACTGCAGGAATCGGGACCAGAGAATAGCCAGCGAGTGGTGGACCTCATTGAGCAGCTTTCGGACCATCGCGACCGACGCCTACCTCAACGAGGAGACCGTCCTAGCTTTGCTTATGATGATACCATTCAGGGCTACACCAATGCAGGCTACGAATGCATCGGCGGCGGAAGGCCAATCCGGTGCGGGATTCTCGACCTGATCCCAACCAAGGGTGCAAGCTTCATCCACAATCGATGGGACATCGTGAACGAAGTTGTCCTTCGCAACATCACCCGTCATCGCAGAATAAACGCGGATTGGGCGCTATCATGCATCCAATCTGACCTGCGTCACAGAATCGCCAGGCGCCCAGGCTCGGAATGGCTTGACAACAGGTGCCAGGTGGCATTCAGCAGCGTCATTCGATGTGATGAAGGAGGGTGGGTGCTGATCGAGGACTTGGTGAGGCATGAGCAACTATGGACCCATGAGAGCAGACGCATCACCGAAGCGGTCTCAAGGACCGATGAGCAACAGAGGAAGAGAGTGTACAATGAAAGACTTCAGCTATTGTTCCAAGGGAACATGCTCGCAGCCACGAAACGCCATAAGGCCAAGATTCGGTTGCAGTTCCTGGGAGTGAGAGTGAAGGACCCCGGCGTGGAAACTCTTGGATCCGCAGGTTCGAACATGTTGGTATCGATTCCTGACCAGATCACGGAGATCCAGAACAATGATCGTTGCCGGCACAGCCAGAGGTACCTGAACGTTTGCAACGGCTGGGTGAAGCCATGGGCAGTTCGGGCTACAAGTGGTCACTCTGCGCACTCAGATCCCCAGAACAATTTGCTTCAGTTGGACAAGAACAGGTTCGCAATATCTCCATCTATGACCCTCTTGCAACGTCTTGGAGGCGCGTTCCACGCTACGGCATGCCGCAACTTGGATTCCATTGTCACGCAAGGCATCATGCCTGGTTCGGAGGACCCCGACGGGGACTTCGACCATAGGCGCCAATTTCGAGGCAACCAAGGCGGCAGACTCCACAGCTATTGGGGGGTGTTTGCACCGTTCGATCACCGGAATGCGACGACCAAGATGCGGGTACATGGACGAGATGCCAAGCACATGCCACTGGCGGTCCTTCATGTCCCATCGCAGGACCTTGCACGAGAAGATGGACGTATCACAGACAGCGGCATCATGATCGTTGGCCGAACGATACCGTTCCAGTTCGTCAAGGAGGTATGGTTTTGCGTCCCGGATCCTCAAGATACACACTCTTTCGCTCTGGTGGAAAAGATCTACGATGAACGGTTGGAGAAAGAGCTGGTGTTGGACTACAATGCATCACCATTGCTCCCTGAGTTCGAGAGATACCGAACGCCAAGCAAGATCATGGAATTGCTTTGCGAGATGCCTCCTGGACCCCACGACACCAGCAAGGAGCAGATCATTCGAGACCTTACGACTGTCCTGGAGTCCCACAGGGAGAACACGGTTCGGCATCACTACATGGACAAAGGGATCAAGTTTGTCATCAAGAATTGGCGACCCGAAGACCTACGCAGAGACGAGGATGGAAGGAGAATGAGGGTGTGCCCGGCATGCTACAACATCGTTCCAGCATGCTTCTCCCGATGCACGTCTTGCTGGTCACAGTTCGTTTCTAGCGGATATTACCAAGGTTCTCCACAACGGGAGACTCCTACGGAGATCCCCAGTGACTTCATTGCTCAGACAATGGAAGCCGCGGCAGCAGCAGTGCCTGAGGCGCCCGAAGAGGAGCAGGAAGCCATGGAGGTAGAGACCGTTGCGGAACCTGAGGAAATCCCAGAACCATCTGTCATCGCGGAGGACGATCCAGAACAGGAACCTGATGAAGAAATGGACATAGAGCCAGGAGAGGACTTTGATGACGCAGTACCAGATGCAGTTGCACAGGAACGCCGTCCCGTCCTCATCGCCGGCCAGTCTTTGAACATCGATCCTGAGCTACAACTTGCACGTACCGCCATGCAGCCATCCTACTACTCAGGGAAGCGAAATGCCCATTGCATTGACGCCAACATGGTCGCTCTTTCGTATATGGCTTTCGTGGTATGCAGGACCATCTACAAGGCTTGGTCGGGATTCGCGAAGTGGGCTACTATGCCGTTGTTTCAGATGAAGGAGAATTTCGCACTTGGCCAACGCTATGATGTGCTCGGAAAGTGGGGATCATTGGCTGTAGTGGACAGAGAGACTGGTGTGAGCAGGGATGTGACTGATGAGGAGATCATTCGCTTTGCCAAGGAACCTGAGAACCTCAAGCAGTACGATCCCAACGGGACTTACACTTTGAAGCGCTTCCGGACGAATCAGATGCTTTCGTTGCTTACACGGGGAGCCAACATGATGGGAATTGGCAGGGACAACTTCAACCCTACTACGTACTTGAAGAGCAACAGGGATGAAGATGTGAAGGCTATGCACTTTTGTTGCCTGAACGTCCTGTGCGAGGTGATTCCGATGGTGACAGGACACCAACAATTCTCAGTGCTACGACCAACGCCAACTGGACCGGTGGACTTCTTGTACATCGACCCCGTCGGTATCCTGCTGACTCATGCCGATCATTCAGTCCAGACCATTGGATTGCTGGTGGACCACAATGTGCAAATGCCTGCGCATTTCATGGACAGATTGAACAGATCCAAGGCTGAGAGACAGCAAAACCCGACGACCAAGCGTACTGAAGCCCTACACCACATTTCGGCCGCTGACTATCTCCCTCCAGGTGGTACTTCCATCCTGGACACGCCTGTCACAACGGAGGAACGTGCAAGCGCTTCTTCGGCCAAGGGACCTTCAAAAGGGCGTGAGAGAACCGGAGGTGAACAGCATGGAGGCTGGAACGCCAACACCTACTATGACTACACCGCCGGCAAAGGCCGAAACAAAGGCAAGGACAAAGGAAAGCAAAGGGAACAGTATCCAGAGGAAAACCTCCGGCCCTGGGACCGCGATCCTGCGACCACGCGAAGATGGAGATGAATCAACGCTTGGTCTTCCTCGCCTATCAGTTCGTGACCTCTGAGCTTCGCCCATGGAATGCCATCGCGAATGCTTCTTTCTTCGGTGACGCCTGATTCGTTTGCCATTTCAGGGGATCGTTACTGACGTAGATGAGTGTCACAACGTTTCTAATTGGGATGCAAAGCTCTGATTTTCAATGTCAACGTTGCGGCGGAACATTTTCTGTTGTCCTATCGTGCCATCTTCCGGGTGAGCAGCGTCGGAGACGCAACTCATGGGGGGTGCGAACGGACTGCGATGCCTTGTCAAGTTCTAAGGTGTCACTATAAGAGCTGTGAGCAAGACCGTGTAAAGTGCAAGAGAAGGGGGCACGCTACGCGTCCCTCGACTCTAAGGGGGCACGCTACGCGTCCCTCATCTTTACCTTTCTATGTGACCGCCCACGCAACGTTTGGCTCAAGTCAATGCCCATAGCTAAGTGCTATAAGTGTCTTCTATCCTGAGCAATCAGAGCTATCCCGTTGCACAGACGAACCGCCGCCGGCAGTGAGTGCAAAAGGAACGGCCGCCGGTTCTGCCTGCATAGGATTGCACGCGTGGAAGTGTGAGAGAGACAGGGTCCAGTCTGTGGAGAGTGCAAGCCAGCCACACCTACATTCATTACAGCTCTGGTGGGGAGAGCAGCAACCTAGTCGAGATCAATCCCCCACGCAATAGGGGATCCTACCATGAAACCATATTCCAACTTTCTGGAGTTCCCTGTAAATGAGTTGTCACATCCTCAGGGCTCCCAAATGTAACTGTGGGATCATCTGCCCGAAACCCTAAAGCCTGGACTGCGCTCAGAAATTTCGTCAGCTTGTCAACCCTATGGAGCAATCGAAGCTTTAAGCTATATGCTGAAACCCTACACCAGAAACAGCAGGTCCCATATGCCCGAAAACCCATTGATGCAAAAATCTGACTTCAAACTCCAACCAAGTTTGGAATCCTAGCCGAAATTATCCTCCCCACCCATTGAGACCCCGTCAGAAACGTTCGAGCCGTGCGATACGTGGCCCAAACTCTTGAGCCCCTGTGGCGAAGACAGCACAATAACAGGCAGACGCAGCATTTTAGAGCTGTCGCACCGGTTTTTGCCAGCCAGCTGTTGGTTGCAAAACGACCACCTGACGTGTTCTTCGGTGCAGACAGCTGCATTTTCGGTACCTGGTGGATTGAGCTGGCTGGCGCAGACTTTTGCAGCGTTCCGTGCTTGAGAATATTTTCCAAAAAGGTGCTCGAGATGGCGTAAACAGGCGCACGGTGATATTGCATGATTTGCTACAACTTAATTTCACCGTGGGTGTTTTTCATGGTTGGGAAGCGGACGCTGAGGGGAACGGATGCACCCGCACAGGGAGGTTAACATGGATGTGCCATGCATGCTATGGGGAACGGATGCGATCGTAGTGGACTAACATTTTTGAGGCATGGACTATGGACGCGCTGGGGCATGGATGATGTCGCAGTGGATGTTGATGTGGATGCGGCATCGATTCACTGGCAATCGATGCACTCATATGTGAACTTTGTCGCAGTGGAGCAGATTTCCTTCGGCCTGGCGGCCCCGAACGGCTGGCCCAGAGACTCCAAAACCCCTGAATGAAGGAATATACCCTAAATGTATACTCCTTTATGTTTGGGAGTCTCTGGCGCGCGCCCCTCAAGCCCAAGGCTCCGCCAGCCTTCAAAACCTTTCGAATCTGCAACATGTAAAGCATGTAAAGAATACCTCGTGACATATGAAGTCTAAACCCATATATATACAATATATATATATATGTACTGTAGGAAAGACGTATGCTACAACCGCTAAAGCGTTTCGATCCGAGGGGTCTCCACACCAAGCTTCTCGGGCTGCGGGAGGCCTGGATGAGTTAGGGTTTGGGCCATGGGGCTTAGGGTGTATATAGGGTTTAGGGTGTAGGATGGGCATCTAAAACTACAGAGGCGGCATGCATTTCGTGAGTACTACAACCTCAGAACGTAAGAGCCCTAATGCTTTTCAATCATCGTAATCAGGAGCCCAAACGAATAGAAGTACGAATTCTTCAGGCTCATGTGCATTTGGGGAGGTTTGGTTGGGTTTTGCATTAACTTCGCTACGGGTCGGGTTTTTGTGTCTAAGGTGTCCCTAGTACAGGCTGCAGTGCTGAAAGTAGCAGTCGGCGCATTCAAATCAACACAAGTGGGATAAGAAGTTCGACCGCCTCCCACTCCTGTCACGACAACACCGAGCCCCGAACATCCGGAACCATGGCTTCAATACATGACACTGCCGAGCAACGCAGAAGCGATATCCGCTTCATGTCAGAATGCACCTTGCTTGATTTCGCGATGATGTGATTCTTTGGCAGGTTTTCCAATGCTGGTCATTTCTTCTACTATGGCGAAAGCAGCACTGCTGGCATCAGAAGCTGCGAGAGGACGAGCGCGAGGTGCAGACTGCATGGCTGGAAGCGCAGGAAGCTCAGGTGGAGCAGCAGATAGAAGAGCAACAACTTCAACAGCGTGTAGTCGACCTGGAGACGGTTCTTCAAGCCCGGCATGACTGGATGGCACGGTATGAGGAGCAGCAGGCAGATCGCTTCATCCGGCTCCGGCGGCATTGCCTGTTAACAGACCCTTAGTCGTCCAGAAAGTATAGCTTTCAGCGCGTCATTCGGCTAGACTCCCACCTCATACTTTCCGATTGGTTAGCCGATTTCCGATTTTGGACACTCTAAACCCTAAACCCTATAAGCCCTAAACCCATCAAGGCATGCATCTCCGGTCAGCAATTGTTGAAGATGTGGGTCTGGTCCCTCTGGCGCTTCGCACTCCTTCCTCGCAGCCGCCAGCTCCCTTTGGCCCAACGTCTGGAGTCCAGATACCGGGCCATGCTCCTGGGACCAGGCTTTAGTTTAGTTTACCGTTTATAGAAAGCTCAGGGTTTGGTTTGGTGTTGAGGTCTAGGGTCTATCACGTTGAAGACGATTGAAGCCCGCAATGTCATGCAATGTCTAGAGCTTGGGGTATATGCAGGTAATTAGAGAAATTAACCAAACTAAAAGCTTGACCCCGAAATGGACAAGCCTCAACACTACTGAACTCTGAACCCCGAACCCTAAACCCCAAACCCTGAAGCATGCAGGGGTTCCACCCAAGGGCTCTTCTCGATGCTTGGGCTGCCTGGGTGGCACTGCAGCAGCGCCGGCATCAAACCCAGGGCAGGCTTCAAGACACTCGGTCGCGTGGTTTAGGGTTTAGGTTCAGTGCTCCAGGAACCCCCTTTTGCCCTTTTGAGTGTGGGATTTGCTTATTGAGACTGATTTAAGTGGAAGGGTACGCTGATTATCAAGAGGATACTGGGGAACCAACAAGGAAATGGCCGACCACCCGCGCGCGTGGGCTTCAGACCTGCTACACAGCTGCCTCTGGCAGGACGCTCGCTTTTGTATTGTTGTTATGCTGTGTTAGCTGTTAGCTGCAGGATGATAGGTATAATCCTCTCTCGAGGGATTGTCCTTAAGCACCAAAGTGAGATGAGATTTCATTGATGAGCCCACACCAGGTTGGCTTTACATGTTTGTGCCACAAAGTCTGCAACCCATAGCACAAGCTGAACAAAAGACGTATAGAAGTCGAATGATGAGCAAGAGTGCTCCCGCAAAGCCCTTGTGATACTCTATAGCAATACATGACCGTAGACTCGAAACCCATAACCCGGCAACCTTGAGCCCTTCAGGAGCGTACGCGGGTGCTCTGGTCCGTGGTTTCTGCCTGGCGGCTCTTCACCGACTTCCGTGTCGCGCTGGGCAAAGATGCCGCTTTCCGAGCTCTCCGGTCGCAAACAAGAGTTACTTTATTTGTAACCCCAACTACTAAGTCCCATGATCCTTTAAGTAAACCTTGCCAGCTTTCTTGGTTTCGGGCACAGGGTGTTTGATTAGGATTTAGGTTTTGGGATTGAATCTTCTTTAGGGCTACAGGTTTTGGGGGTTTTAAGTGTTAAGCTCAGGGTTTAGGGTTTAGGTCCCATACAGCTCTGATCCCTGAACTCTTCGAGGTCTTGCGTCTGAGAGTTTGGGAGGCTTCGGCTGTGGCTCTTTGTTTCGAGGAGGATTTAGGGTTCAGGGTTCAGGGTTTAGGATTTAGGGTTTAGGGTTTAGGTTTAGGGTTTAGGGTTTAGGTTCAGGGTTTAGGGTTTAGGTTTAGGGTTTAGGGTTTAGGTTCAGGGTTACGGGTTTAGGTTTAGGGTTTAGGGTCTTGGGGTGGTTTTGCACCCAGCCTGACCAGCGACCCTTTAGCTTGCAGAACCCCGAACCATAGACCCATAGACTTAGACCCTGAAATCTCCATCAAAAACCAGCAGTGCCTTAGATAGAGTCTGTCGCGATCAGGAATGTTGAGAACATGCAGCAATGTGCACTCAAGAATTCCGTGTCCAGATCCGATCGTCAGTGTTGTTGTTGAGGCGGGGGGGAGGGGGGTGGAGGGCATACTTTTAACCGCAAATCCTAAACAACGGAACCTCGATATGTCGTGCAAAACCCATGGAACCCTTTACACCCTATAAACCGAATAGCCGATAAGCCCTAAACCTGAAAGATAAAGTTGACGCACTAGTTTGCACCAGTTTCCATTGCCTGCTAAGTCATCTTCTAAGGCGCATTCTGAGCGCTTCAAAGACTAAGGAACCCCTAATCTGGACCCGAATGACACCCGGAAGCAATCCCCAACGTTGGAAACCCTGATGTCAAGATCGAAAAACACGACCGCCAAAAGAACCGACACGCAGTCAACAAAAGCCATAATCTGTAGGTTCTAGATCCTGGATCCTCAAGGTTCTTGTTCTAGATCCTGGATCCTCAAGGTTCTTGTAGCATGAGTATTCCTGCAACCCTGAACTACATTCTCAAACCCAAATCCTGAACCCTACTTGAGGATCCTGGGACTCTGTAGAGTTATAAGTAAATATGAGTATAGTTATCTTCATGTAGAGACCTGGTTACTTAGTCCCATGATCCTCCAAGTAAACCACCAAGCAATCTAAGCCATCTACAGGTGGGTAGTTTTAAGGTGGGTAGTCTCCCATAAGCCTTCCATACCACTCCTATAAGGTAAAGGGGTCTTATGGGAGTACTATGGAAGAGGAGCTACCCACCTGAAATGGGCTTCTAAGCAAGGTCGGCCTCCGTGGGAACAACTTCCTCCCAGTCGCGACGGAGTCGTCACCCGGAAACCTGATGGAACAGCCTAAGCCGTAGCTAAACCCAAAATCACCTACCGGCTTAGGGACTTATAAACCATATAAGAAAATCATATTCAGAAGTCATGAACCCTGCGAATCTGACGCTGGCACTTCTAACGACCCCGATACTGTTTTCTGTAGTGAGTGTTCGTATCGAAATACGGAACACTAAACACCCTGTAATCCCTGAACCCTAACCCCCCCCCCCTCCAAGAAAAAGAATTACAAACCCTACAATTCCTTGCAACCCAAGCTTTCTGAGGACCACTCCGGCCTGACCCAGGGCTCTTGGAGGGCCTCGAGGACTTGCAGCTTGTCTGTCTGGTTCTTAGTAGGGAATGGGTTACGGGGACTACGCACTATTACCAAGAGGGTCCTTATACACTAGTATTATGGAATTAGGTCCCAAATACCATGATGGGGATGGTCATTCAGGACCTAAGTCCGTAGTGGTAGTATATATTACGGACCCTCTGGGTTATGGATTATATAGGGACTACAAGACGGATCCGTTCCCCCATTCCCTACTAAGCACCGGGGAGTTGTCAGCAAGTCGATTCCTTCAAAGGCCCCAATAAAGGAATAGATTCCTTTAAAGGCCCCATTCAAGGGACTAGATTCCTTCAAAGGCCCAGTTTAAAGGCATAGATTCCCTTGAAAGGCCCCATTTAAGGAATAGATTCCTTTAAAGGCCCCATTTAGGGATATGTATGGGTTCAAAACGATTTGGGCGTTGCAGGGCTTTATGAGGTTCTTACAAGGTTGCAATGGATCCAAAGGACCCAGTACTTAGGTATATAGGTTTCGGGGATAGTATCATGGTAGGTTGGTTTTTGGCAAGACTATGTAATATCAGCAATAATAGCACCAGGAATAACGGGGCAACATCGCAGCTCCGGATGCTTGGTTTAGCCATTCTTGGACAACTGAGTTCGGCGTTGAGCATGTGGTTTGCAGAGCATGCACCACCCCGGCATCTTAAGCCTTCAGAAATGAAGTTACAGCCCAAACCTATGAAATCCTACAAAACCTTTGCGGTCGGCGAGGCGCTACGTTTCAGGGCTTGCATGGCTTGCAGGTGTTCTGCCCGAGTCCCGAAATCAGGGTTGAGACTTCAGGGTCGAAATACATCCACAACTCGCCTCTTCGCACTGTGAGGGCCTTCCCCAAAACTAGTATGTGCAAGTTAGCTGCCGACTGCAAGGTAGGTTTTTGGACCTTGAGCCCGTAAGCCCTCAGCATGTCTTGTTCTACCGGGGTTAGGGTATAGGGTTTAGGGTATAGGGTTTAGGGTTTCTAAACCGTAAGCCCTAAACCCAATCCGAGGCTGGAGGATGCGAACAGCGTGATGCAGGACGACTTCTAGTCTCAGTACAACTACTTGGATCATGGGACTTAGTAACGAAGGTTATACGTACCCTAAATGGATTTATAAGTAGTTATTATAAGTATATTTACCGTAGTTATAACCCTCGTTACTAAGTCCCATGATCCCCCAAGTATATGGTAAAATTCCAAGACCCTGGTCCAATCATTGAGGTTCGTAAGCCTAAGCCCTTAACTCCTTAAAGAACGCCTTATGGTTCAGATTTATAGATAGAGCCCCTTATGGTAAGTTTTCCATGAAACCCTTAAAAGGAACCTTCAATCGAACCCGCAGGCTAAAGCGATTCGGGTCAGCGAAACCCTACCTAGAAATGAAGCCTAGGCCCCAACCAATCAACCCAAAACCATAAACCTTAAACCCTGAACCCTAAACCCTAAAACCTAAACCTAAGCCTTAAACCCCAAACCGATAGAACCCTAAACCGATAGCACCCGCAGCTGCGGCTGCTCTCGTTGTCCCCGATTCCCAGATCTGCAATCGAAGGTTGCAAATCCAAGGCCGCAAAATCTGTGTCAACCCATATATATATATATATATATATATATATATATGTATGTATATATGCACATACATATGCATACATAAACTAATATGTGTTCATATATGTATATTATATATATATATATACATATATCAAGTGTTAATGTATTCCAGCTACTGTTGTATACGATTATAGTATCATAGTATCGTGTAGTAGAGTAGACTAGAGAAAAGTAGAATTGAGTGTAGTGTAGTATAGTATGGCATTGTATAGTATAGTAGTATAGTACAGTGTGGTACAGCAAAAAACATAGTATAGCATAGTAAAGTATAGTTGCCTGCTGTGGAGGAGTCTTTGCTGTTGCCATGGAAGCCTTTCCTGCTGCTCGTCAGTGTCTGTGACGAGTCGGTGGGAGCTCACTCTTCGTAGCAAGAGAGCTATGCTACGGTTGATGGTACAAATCCTGCATTACCCATAATAAGGAATATACCATAATTCCCATAGTTTAAGGTCCTTAAGGTAACGCAGGATTTATATCATCAACAGTAGGACGAAGAAGGAAGTAGCTTCGGCGGGTGTTCCAGCAGCGGCAGCCTCCGCTGTGCAAGACAACACCGCTCGTCAGACGAGGACGACGACGGCGACATGGGGACTGCGACGACACCAGCCCAACGCGCCACCACAAGCCACGGCAACAAGACCGCCAGCACGAACACACTCGCCGTAAAGTTCAATTACCGAAGTCCAAGACTGAATAGCATGCACCACAGAGAAGACGTTTCTTTCCACGTGCGCCGTTGTCATGCTGGTTATTGTCTTGTGTATGGTCGCTCTTGTTGACTCTTGTGATCATGAGGGCCCGCTTCGTGTTTCTCTTCGGTCATAACAGAGCATGAATTATAGATTGTTTGCGAGAGCCGAGGGACTGCAGGTCGAATTTTGAGGTTGTGCCTTTCTTGCTTCGGGCGATGTTCGTTGTTTAAGATGTTGGTCTGAGGTCTGCTGTGATGCAGCTATGGCGCACAGTAGCACGAAATGCTTCACCAACAAGGCCTGTCGTGTCAGATCAGCTTGGGGTTGCAGGCGGCATACAAGCATGCATGTATGTATGTGTGTATATACATATATATTTATATAATATATATATATATATGCATATTATATATATATATATGTATACATATATATATATATATATACAGTGACTGATTGTGCGCTGTGTGAATATAAACACTATCGGCTATGAACTTGCACACGTTGTCTAATGCATACGATAGCGAACATGCTAGCTACTATCTTGCAGTATCACATTCTAAGATACAACAAGATATATCGTGATTCGTTACGACATTATGTCAAGGTACAATACAAAGGGATAGAACACAATAGCACCGAGTATAATCAGATACATTGTCACATGACACTATACATAACAATGCAACAAAATGCAGTCTAATACAGCGTAGTATCATCTAATAATGTAGCATAATTGCAATATACAGATATAATATAAACGAAGCATATTTGCAACATGCTGTACAAGGTAGTAGAATAAGGAAAAGCTTGGTATGTTCCTAATATGAAATAACCCCGTGACCGACTCCTGTCAAAGAGAAGCATTGGGCCGTTTGGCCTTGAGCGACGAACCTGTTTGCTGATCCTCCCCACTTCCCAAAATCTTCGCCTTACATGACACAGGTCTTTCGTCCCTCACAGCAGACTGCAGCAGGCCCCCTTGTTCGTTTGCATAGAAGGACACGATCCGGTCTGATTGTTTCTGCAGCTAACGCTATTGTTGCTGTTGCAACTCACCACAGCACAACTACGACGGTGTCTGCCGTCGCATCAACTATTTGTTCGGCCCGGCACTAGAACCGACAGTGCGATAGCCATAGCTACTTCATCTTCGGTTTCCTGCTGCTAATACCACTACTACTACTACACTACTACTACTACTACTACTACTACTACTACTACTACTACTACTACTACTACTACTACTACTACTACTACTACTACTACTACTACTACTACTGCACACTGCTACTACTACTACTGCTACTACTACTACTACTACTACTACTGCTACTGCTACTGCTACTGCTACTGCTACTGCTACTGCCACTGCTACTGCTACTGCTACTGCTACTGCTACTGCTACTGCTACTGCTTCTACTGCTGCTTCGGGTAGAAGGTCTCTGTGTTTGCAGCCAAACGGCCGTGTCAGCTCAGAGCTTAGGGCTGCGAACTTCGACCACAGAGTCTGCAACACCAGACAGCGCAAGTTGAAATCTAAGGCGACGTCCTAATTCAGGTGGCGCGTCTTTGACCACCAGATGCTGATTGTGAAGACTGTAGAAGATCTGGAAGTTTGTAGACAGAAGCCCAAAAACAAGCACGCAATACCATCAATTCGGAGACTACGCCATGAAGTTCGAATTGCAGGATGAGGACACCCAAAGCGCCCAAAGCGTCAACAAGTCCCAAAAACCACAAAACCCTGCATTGCAGGGTTATCCCTAATTGAGCTCCGCAACTTCGAGCCTAAGCCGTAAATCTGAGCACTTCTGCAGACTGGCGTGGAAAATCGCGCCCAGAGAATCTTGGTTGCAATTATCGGTGCAACTAGATCTCCGGGTTAAGGCGTCAGATTTGAGATGTCTGATTGGTAGGGAGTTTTGATGTGGGATGATGTCTACTTTCTTTGGGATACGAGTGTACTGGAACCTTTTCAGCATGCTGGGACTCCTCCCTCTCTCTCTCTCTCTCTCTCTCTCTCTCTCTCTCTATCTCTGTCTCAAGGTTGATAACAACCACTGCAACGATAAGACTTTCACGGCCCTTTGAAAATGAAACCCATGAAGCAGCGAATGACGGAACTTTACAGCCTTTAGGTCTTTGGCCTTGAAGTTTAGGGGTTCATCGGATTGATTGGCTTTTTGGAGGAGTGTCGAAGACGAGTTTGCAGCCTTCAAGTTGTAAAGATCTTAGGCGGAAACTCTGAACCCCGAAACCCAAAACCCTTAAGCCCCCAAACCCTAAACTCTAAACCCCTAAGCCCCAACCCCCTAAACTCCTAAACCCTAAACCCCTAAACCCTGAAGTACCAGAGACCTAACCTGCGCCTTCTAGGATCGGAGAAGCTTGTGCAGCGCTTGCTGCAACAGATTGATCGAGCTCTTTTAGCCTTGGCCTGAGGTTCCGTCTGGAATAGGTTATTTGGGGGAGGTTATCGTAGGAAAATGTTTTGAACTGTTTATCAGCACGTAGTATGGCCAAAGGTTATAGGTTTTGCGATCCGCCTCAGTATAATGACATGCTGGACTACAAAGGGGATGTAATTTTCAGACAGTCCAGTTAGGGTACACTTAGTAATAATATACCATTGGAATACTTTTTTAACTAGTTCAATTATCCTCCCCGGCTTATTCTAAATCAGTAAGGCCGCCTGTTAGCCGGTTTTGCGAATAGCAGCCGTAGGTCATGATAGGGACACATGGCAACAATAAGAATAGGTGTGTGTGTGTGTGTGTGGGTGAACCCTTTACCATTCTGTTCTTCTTTTTCTACATAGCTCCCTTCTTAAATGTATACACATATACTCATACATATACGTATTATATATGTGTGTATACATATATATATATATATATATACATACATACACATACACCCTAGTTTCACTTGTAGAAGCCGTGGCGATTGGACGGGGGTTTAGGGCTTAGCAGCCTAGTTACCCAAGAAGCCCAAGGGAGCCCAGAGGCATAAGGAGCAATGCCTAGAACCGTAAACCCCTAAACCCTAAACCCAAAAAGCCACGCCCGAAACTTTGCGGGCAAGTCCGAAGACTTTCAATTTTACATCTACAGGCTCCCAGACCCTCCAGACTAAACCCAGTAAACCTGCAACATGCTTTAACAACACCTGATGAGGAACCCTCTAAACACCCAAAATCCGATTTCGATTGCAAAGGGCTCCAACAGGCCCGTGACTTTAGATGTCGCGGTTCGGCGTATTTTTGAGGTGTGTAAGAGAGCTTTTTTGCTTTAGGGTATCTGGGGTTGCAATTTAGTTGCAAGGTGGCTCCCAACCCTGCAACTCTCAATGCGGTCAGGCTGCCTGAAGATGGAGTTTGCATGATGCAGGGGCTTGAATTAAAATAGTCAGGGTATTCTTCAGTCCCTCAAGCATAAAAGTGTAGAGCAATGAGCCCTACCCTAAACCCTTATTCCCTTCTATAAGGCATAGAACCATATAAAGCCCTCCTCATACAGGGTATACTGTAGCGCTAGCGCTTACTTGCAGGTTGTGGTAATCTGCGCCTGGAAGCTCCAGGCCAGCGACCGCGGGTGCATGGGGTGCATGGGGTGCACGGGGAGGGTCGCCCACTGAGAGGTGCAGGCCAGACGTTTTTGCAATAGTCAAGAGTCTCAGAAGGGGTTTATAGGCTTCAATAGCTGAACTGGGTTTCGGAAGGATGTTGTATTCTGTATTTTTGTGACTTTGTTCCCAACTTTCTTTGTTCCTCCCACGAAACTCCAACAAGGTTGTGGCCAATTGTGCAGAACAGTGTGCTACGCCATCTAAGCAGGCGGTTTTTCCTCCCAGCTGGGCTCGTTTTCGGCTATGTGAGAATGGGCCGTGCTGAGTGAGTTCGTAACCCAACATTTGACTGGAACATGCGCGGACCCGACATATGAACACGAGTCAGCTTTTAACCCCCAAAACCGAAGCCCTAAAACCCTAAACTGGCTCAAACCCAACACCTAAACCCTAAACCCCACCTTAACCCCGAAGAACCTACATATTTAAGGACTTATTTAAAGAAATCATAATAAGGAACTTTAAAAAGGTAGGTTATTCCGGGTTAAGGTAAGCCCTCAACGCAGAACTCCAGAGCCCTCCACCTCAGCCTCCCCTCTTGCGTCCTTGCATCTGGGACAGGCAGAGTCTCGACAAGGGGGCTTTCCGCTGCAGACACCGTCCACGCCCTGTTGGAGTCTCAGTGCTGTACTTGCCCTAAGGGTCCAAGTACCTTATTATCATACACTCTCCAAAATCCTAAGCTACGTAACTATCCTAAAACCGAGTACCTAATTATTTGGTCCTTTGGGGACCCTTGCGGGTTGAGAGGATCCAGGGAGGGCTTAGCTCTTGGGTCTTGGGTTTGGGGTGTTGGGTTTAGGGTTTAACGTACTTGAAAGGATCCAGGGATAAGTCGCCGGGTCATAATGGTGACAACCAGTGTAGATTAGGTATCAGGTTGAACGTGAGTTTTCGGGTTTATGGAGAGTACTTGGCGGGGTACTTGCATTGTTATCCGTATAAACCGTATAGTCCACTCCCCATGTCCAGTGATCCTTAGAGCCTTAGAGTTCAGTGAAGAGAACCAGGAAATCCAGTTGCTGGCTTGGTAGCTTGCAGTTCAAGCCTCATGATTTCGGTATAACGACTGAAGGCTACCCAACAATGCTGATAATTACATCCTACCTGAAACGCACTACACTCCCGAACCCTGCCACAGCTGCCGGGCTTGAACGTGTAGACCTATTGGTGCCGAGGGTTCAGCTTCGAGTGCTGATGCTCAGGTCCCGCAGCCTCAGACGGATAGTTTAGAGTGTCAACTCCTGGCGGACTCATCAAGCCCGTCCAAGCCCTCATTTCGTGTTCCCAGGGCTTTAAGTTGGTTTTTTCTTAGGGACCGCGACTAAGAAGCGATGCCAAAAACCTCATACCGTGGAGCTTGGATTCTACCTAAGTAAGCCTAGGTATAGAAGCCTAGGTATAGTTTAGAAGGGGCCCCCACCCTGTAATAGTGGTATAATAGGAATATAATCGGGCCCCAATATAATCCTCATAGTCACTATTACAGGGTGGAGGCAGCTTCAAAGGTATAGTAGTGACCCAACACCTAGACAAGGCTATTGAACCCAAGAAACCATGCAACCCACCGAGCAGACGAATCCCGTCTCCAGGCTTCGAGCATTGGCAGCGCCCGCTTCCGTGAGCCCCTCGGCGATGGGCCAAAGACCCAACCCTAAACCCTAAACCCTTCCTGAAGGAATTTAGGGTTCTACAAAAGCTTTACTTGTTTAATGTGTGGAGGGGTTCTAGAAGAACTCCACAAAGTGTTGTTGTGGAACAAGCCCCCCAAGGTTCTTGCGTTTGGAATTGTGCAAGGCATCATTGGGCTGGATGGACTTTGGGAGTTGTCATTGCAGGCCTCTGCTTCTACCGCCCGGTCGATGATCCCTTGCTTGCTTTCCAAGTGCACTGTGGCTACGTGATGTTCTGTGCATTGCTCAACCCTGGCTACTGCTGGGCATCGTGGCTTGAGAAGTTCTTCTCTCCCCTGGAGGTCGGCGATCATGAGAGGGTGGCCCCCTCTTTCCTGCTATCTTTCGGAGCACGGCGGCATGAAGTGCGTCGCACTGCAGCTTAAGAGGGTGCTCCTCTCCTGAAAGGGTGGCCCCACGTCGTTCTAGCATCGGAGCGCGGCGACGAGCAAGGCTGCCGAAGAGATCAATGTGGAACTGTGCGACACGGTACTCCTTGTGGCAACGACTGCCGCGCTTCTGAAGGGGTTTCGCAAGTCACTAGTGTGACCAAATCTATGCGGGCACACCGTTTGCAGGTGTATGGTTCGCTCTGTCGCAGGACGAGATCCTGTTGACCGCGTTGGAGCTCAGCTTGTCCCGGTGTGGAGTGCAGGGTCACACAAGTTCAGAGTGGAGTAGTCGATTGGGTGAAACCCGAATTATATTACACCGAACGGGCCATATAGTAGCCTTTGCACGGAGTGCAGGGTTGCAGAACAGATGGTCAGACAAGTTCGCGGAAAAGGTCACTGAGGATGCGCAGGGGTTTAGACGCCTTCATGTCCTTATGTCGACGTCGTATGACGTATGACGGGTTCCAGGTCGCAGACCTCATCATACAACATTATGTTTAGACTGGATACCTCTGCGGGCATGCTAGTTTAGAAGATAGGGATCCCTCCGTAAGAATCCGAAGCCCGAACACAAGCCCCAAGCCAGTGAGAGATGCACAGATCAAGATACAAGAGCCTAGTGACCAACTCGCACGAAACGATAGTAGGTTCCTTTTTTAGTATAGCCGCTGGAACAAACCCTGAGGGCCATCTACCCAATTAGTATATGCTTCGGGCCCAATGCACGTGTACCTGTACATACCATTTGGGCACCTGGACCCTCAGGGAAAGGTGATGTAGGCCTGGGGTTTCAGGGTGTAGGTTGCGAGTTCTGCCAATCGACCCGAGATTGACATGGCATGATTCCGCAAGCTTTGACGTGAGGCAAGGGCAGCACGACACTTGCAGAACCTCAGTGTCCAGGGTTTTCAGGCTTAAACATTTAGGCTGCAAATTCGAACCCGAAATCTCGGAACCCGGAACCACCAAACTAGTCTTGAAATCCACGAAGTTCCTATTGCAACAAGCCTTGGGTCCCGCATGCCCGAGATGTGATGTAGCAAATTCGAGCGCTTACGGTTTATACCATCTTGGAACTTGACCTTACTCGAGCTGCATCGATGCAGGTGAACCAAAGCAGCACGTTAAAGCTTTGATCGTGCACGTAACATGGAGTGCCATGTCTTTCCACCGCGCAAGCGCCGTCGGCAGGAGGTTGGCCAAATCTGTGCTACTATCTAACGGTTGAGGGTTCAGGGCTTAGAGGTTTAGCAATTACAGAGTCTATAGACTCCAATATCATAATTACCAAAGACACCGCACTCTGTCATTACAAGTGATGCAACGAGAGGAATGGCAAGATTTTGTGTGCCCCGAGTTTGCGGCTCGCCGGAACCGCTTCGTTTGCTGTTTGCTGTTGTGTTCATCAGCTGAAGCCCGGCAAACCAGCAAGTGAGTGCACGGCCCAAAAAGCAAAAACCAAACAAGCACACACAGCACAGACGGACCCACACACCCACCCGCCCGCCCGCCCGCCCGCCGGCCGGCCCACCCGCCCGCCCCCCCGCCCGCCCGTCTGCCCACCCGCCCACCCACCCATCCACCCCCCACCCACCCACCCACCCACCCACCCCCACCCACCCACCCACACCCACCCACACCCACACACACCCACACACACCCACACCCACAGACCAAAAGAAAAACAACCCCCTGCACCCACAGTGCATTCGTGTTGCTGTTGTGTTTTGCTGTTGGTTGGTGCAGGAGGGGGGTCCAAACATAAACCTGTGCAAGTCTAAAGCGCCTACAAAAGGATTTTGTGGGAGGTAAACGTAGCTTAGGCCGCTTTAGGGTTTAGGGTTTAGTAGGGTTTAGGGTTTAGGGTGCCGTTAGATGGGAAGTGTGGTCGGAACTTGCGAGCAGTTTTGCTCTTTTGACTATTTTGACTTGTTGCAATTATTACAGCTGACCTGACTTGAATGAGACCACCGCCTATAATTAGATCCAAACCAAAGAAGGAAGCTAGCTTCATGACTGATCTAGGGATGTTGGCGATATGTATATTGAACACTTGCCCCGTATTTCAATCTCGAGGCCTTTAGCCTAAAGCCCTGAATCCCCGAATTTGTATATTCCCGGCAAAGTTGCTCAGAATCATAGCCGCAAGCCCCAGAATGGTTGGTAGAAATCAGGGCTTCGCACCCTCAACCGTCGCAGACCCCAACTTCAAAAGCCCGTAGACCTACAGGCCCCCAATAAACCCCTAAACTCCTAAACCCTACACTCCCAAACTCCTCAACCCCATAAAACCCTAATCCCCCAAACACCGAAAACCCTAAATCCCTAACCCCTAAACCCTTAGAATCATCATTCCAGGACCCTAAACCCTAAACCCCTGAACCTTAAATCCCTAAACCCCTAATCCCTTTCCGCAGGCTGCCGCCATCTCCGAGCGGGCGATGAAAGAGTCCACCGCGGCAGTCATCCGCTCCTTCCCGAGCACGTCTCGTCCTCGGGGTTTAGGGTTTAGGAGTTCATGGGTTTAGGGTATAGGGGTTTAGGGTTTCTGGGCTCGGTTTGTGGGCGTTATGACTGGTTTACTAGGTCTCCCAGTGGCAGCCTTTGCTCTTCTATTGGGGGGTCTCTATTAACACCGAACAGTAGGAAAAATCTGATTTTGAAGAGCATACTTTGTAACCTCGTTCAGGATATTACAGAGGAGATTAGGGTTTCCAGCAGACTGATACGGTTGATGATTTTCGGGTTCAGGCTTAAGCGGTTCAGGATTTGGGGGTTTAGGATTGAAGCACGACCTCAGCTTGGAGAGTTCATCATTTTAGGGCTTAGGGCGGCTTCGGTTTTGGGTTTGTAGAGTTCAGCGTTTACAAAGACCCTAGAATGTAGCACCTTATTTAAATACCTATTATACCAGGGAACCCTAAGAGCCTACTACTTTGTAGGTTAATATAGCTGACACTTTATAGGTTGATACAGATACTACTCTATAGATTGATACGGATTATAGGTTCTAGGAAAGGGGTTGAGGCTTGAAGAGCTTTAGGGGTTCGGACGGAGCAGACGTTTCGGCAGCGAAGCTCTTGCTCTTCCTCCGCCGTGGTTTAGCGCATTTGCGCGAGAAAGCGTGACGAAGCCTGAGACGGCTTACCTAGAGACTCCAAGTCGAGTAGTACCAATGGTACCTATTTTGGCCTCTAAAGTCTATAAATAGTACCTACTTTGGACCATTTGGAGTCTTAGGGTTCGGAGTTTGATTTATGTAAGGTGTGAGCTTCGGCGCGCTGTTGAAGCCTAAGACCATTTCAATTGTGGTTTGAAGCTTTCCTTTCCTTGTGGCATCTCCTCCAACATGTGGGGCAAATGGAGCCAACAAAAACCCTGCAAGTGAGCAAGGTGGCAGCTGCTAACGGTGGCACGTTTGGCACACGAGGCACGAAAGTTGTCCTTGGGCTGAGGAGTTCCCTGTTTACTCTTCAACACGGTTTAGGGTTTAGGGTTAATTTGGTTAAGGGCTTGGGGTTAGTACAGTATGGCTTTGGGATTAGTGTTTTCGATGGTTTTCATATAGAAGCCTTGGTACGTACTAATCATCACAGCTCCTTCTAGAAAACATGCTGCGGCATGCCGCAAAATCCTGTTATAACTAAAAGCGCCCCTATACTACCGTTCACAAGCGGTACATGGCCCTAGGGTCCAGCAGAGGGTATTTGGAGGGTCTTAGCATGCCACACAAAGTCGCATTGCTTTGGATACTTCAGGGTCACGGCTAGCCGCTGTTACAGGATGTGCAAGTAGAATCATCTTGTATACCGTCAACTATGGCACCTTTGGCACTCACACTTGATCATGATCTAGCCTCAGCAGCCCTAAGCCCCAATGAATCTAAACGGCCCTCAACGCTAATCCTTGAATCCTGAGCCCAAGACCCCAAGCAGGCACAAGCACTTCGTTCCATTCCATCTCGCGGGATTTGCATTGAAGTGGTGCCGCAAGAGATGCGTGCAGCCCGGCTAAAACTGACAGCAATCTCAGGTATGCCAGGCAACTGTCGTAGGGCTGCTCTTCTAGATTCAGGTTTGATGATTATGGTTCACGGGAGGGGTTACAGGGTTTGCGGTTTAGAAGTTCGTGGCTTACAGGGTTTTTGGTTTGTCTTTTGTCGGGATCAGGATAAGTCTTGGCACGGCTAGTTTAGCAACAGGGTGTTGGGAATGACAAGCGGCTAGTCTGAAAATCTTAACCATAAACCCTATGTCTATGTATACTCTCCATTGTGCTTCGTCTTTTGGTAAACCATGCTTATGGCTGGATTCTAAAATCAGACAACAGCGAATCCAACAAACAGAACTACATTGGAGAATACAGGTAAGCCCTGCAATTAAAAGCCCGATTCCATGAGGAGTAGGTTTGTTTTGGTGACAACAGTGGATGCTGGCGCATGCTGCTTTCCGTGGTCATGTCATCCTCCATCATCCATCAACCGGTCATTGCGTGTGGTTTGATCATGCACGTGTGTTGCACACTTAAGTTCAAAATACATGCATGCATGCATACGT